AGGAGGGGGAGGAGGTGGAGGAAGGAGAGGGGGAGAAGGGGGAGGAGGGGGAGGGGGAGGATGAGGGGGAGGAGGAGGAGGAGGACGAGGAGGAGGGGGAGGAGGGGGAGGGGGAGGAGGAGGAGGAGGAGGAGGAGGAGGAGGAGGAGGAGGAGGAGGAGGAGGAGGAGGAGGAGGAGGAGGGGTCAGGGCAGGCCCCTCACACTGATGTCGAGGCGGGCGCTTCCCTCCTCTGCAGGAGGAGTAGGCGAGAATGGTCGAAGGAATTGCCAGGTGACGATTTTTTGTAGTACCTTTCCTCGGAAACTGGAACGTATACACTACCAGTGGTGGGCTGTTTTTCCATCCCAGGACCTTTTGAGGCTCGGGGACGACGTCGGGGTGGTGTGGTGTATATTTTTTCCCCGGTTTCCAAGGGAAGCCACGAGAGATGTATACACCAGGATCCCGTATACACCAGGATCCATTTTCTTGTGCGAATTTCAATGCAGGGCCGCAAAAAGCATCGGTGTATAGAGTTCGGTTCTCTAGAATGGTCGAAGCAATCGCCAGGTGACGATTTTTTGTAGTACCTTTCCGACTAGGTCTGATTCTTTGTTGACAGTTGCTTTTGTATTGTTCTTCCAAGATCCGCCTGTAGGAGGACATGCCCGACCCAGCACTGATGGTCGAGCGCTCTGCTCGTGTTTTTTTCGGTCACGGCGTGTCTGTCCATTTTTTTGCACAGGCTTCAAAGAAGAAAAACAGCATACACATAAATTTCGGCGCTCCGCGCGGATCTCTTGGATCTGCGCTGGACCCCCCTCCCTGGCGGCGTCTCTGGCGCCGCCAGTGGCGCGCTCCGCGCGCCAGGGAGGGGGGTCAGCGCGGATCCAAGAGATCCGCGCGGAGCACCGAAAGTTGATCTTTATGCCCGTTGGTGTTTCTCCAGCACTGATGGTCGAGCGTTTTGCTTGTGTTTTTTTCGGTCATGGCGTGCTTGTCCGCACGGTCGTATCTCTGGGGGGGTACCCATACCTGCCCAGGCCAATCCTGGGCCTCAGGATTGGTCAAAGCGTGCGACGATCTTCCGATCTTTAGCGCAGGTTCGGTCCGACCAGGATTGATGAAAGTGGAAAGTTGGCGTTCTTCGCAGGAGGGCTTCCTCAGCATCCTGCTGACACAGATGGGGAACCTGATCTTCGTCCTGACCTCCCTTGCGGCCATCATCTGCTGGCTCACCGGCGACGAGGTCAAGTCAATATTCCTGGTCTGCCTGGTGTTCATAGTCTGCACCTGTAACGCGGTCGGCGAGTACTCTGGGCAAGACCCCTCGGCCGCCCTGCGTGCGATGACGTCGGAGGACGCCGTGGTGGTTCGCGACGGGAAGAAGCAAGCCTTGCCTGTGGCGGACCTGGTGCCCGGGGACATCCCGGGCAGCGCGGAAGGGGGTTCACGACAAGGGTGTCACCACCTCCTCCGGGAGATCGAGGGTCGAGGGGGAGGAGGAGGAGGAGGAGGAGGAGGAGGAGGAGGAGGAGGAGGAGGAGGAGGAGGAGGAGGAGGAGAGGAGCAGGAGGAGGAGGAGGAGGAGGAGGAGGAGGAGGAGGGGAGGAGGAGGAGGAGGAGGAGGAGGAGGAGGAGGAGGAGGAGGAGGAGGAGGAGGGAGGGTCGAGGATCGAGGAGGCGTGGGGCGTTTTTGGGTGCCTCTGGGGCTCCTCCTGGGCTGTTCTTGGGGGGGCCCAGGGGGGCCCGCTCCCTCGAGGGTTGGCGACCCCGCCAGTGTTCAGTCGGGCATCTCCCTCTACAGGAGGAATATTCGAAATAAACAATCAACACATTGTCTGGGGAGCTTTGATATGTAAAGAAGGGAGACATGTACAAATAAAGTGGCATAGGCTTCTTTTATTATCTTTATTATTGTATGATGATGCGATGATGTTGTTGATGATGATGATGATGATGATGATGATGATGATGATGATGATGATGATGATGATGATAATGATGATGATGATGATGATGATGATGATGATGATGATGATGATGATGATGATGATGGTTTTAATGATTCTTATCAGGACTACTATTATAGAAAACACTAACGTTGACTGCCTCGGAGTATTTTTGTATTTTCTAGTTTTCTTTCAAAATCCGCCTGTATGGGGGCATGCCCGGTGGCGACTCCCCTGGCGCTGCCCAGACATCGTGCACCTGAGCATGGGCGACATGGTGCCAGCGGACATACGGCTGGAGGAGTGCAACGACCTGCAGGCCAACGAGTCCGTGCTCACGGGCGAATCCAAGGAGGTCACCAAGAGCGTCCACAAGAAGGAGACGGACTCTGCATACCCGCTGAACATGCTGTATAAGTCGACGGACATTGTCTCTGGCAGTGCTGTCGGCCACGTCACCGCTACAGGGATGTCTACGGAGATCGGCCTGATTGCCAAGCGGTTGAAGTCACCAGACGGCCAGACCCTCAACGAGCGCTTGAACCCGTTGCAGCGCAGCGTCAACGTGCTGGGTACTATCATCGCAAGCGTATGTGCTGTCGTCATCGTCACCGGCACGATCGTCTCGTTCCTCCTCAAGTACCAGGATGAGCCCGCCTCCTGCGCCAGCGATGACGACGTCTGCTTCCTCGAGTACGCCATCGAACGTGGCCTGCTCCTCGCTGTCGCTATAATCCCCCACGGCCTGCCCCTCGTGGTCATGGTCATGCTGCGCATCGGCTCGTCGCTGATGGCTGACCTGAACGCCGTGACCACGCGGCAGTCTGCCGTGGACTACCTCGGAGCGGCGGCGGTTATATGCACCGACAAGACCGGCACGCTGACGGAGGGGAAGATGGCGGCGAAGAGCTTCACTGGCTGGATCCGCACAGGCGCTGCCCAGCCGGCCGCCCGAGCGGAGCTTGCCTTCTATCCGATGAGAGGCCTCGACCCCGCGGGGGGCGTGTTCTCAGCGGCCGGCCTCACCACGAAACACAAGGCGGCGCTGGACAAAGGCGAGCGCATCGGCAGCGTGCCCGGGCTGCAGGACCTCGGGAATCCGGAGACCACGGGCGGCGGCGTCGACGGGCTGCTGGCCCGCGCATGTGCAGCGGCGTCTTTTTTGAGCTGCCATGGCACGCGGGTGCGGAAGGATCACGCCAGTGGCGCCTGGGTTGCCGACGGCAACATGAGCGAGGGCGCGCTCAAGGTGGCGTCCTACAAGGGCGGCTACCGCGAGGGAGAGGCAGTTAGCCAGGCGCTCGTGGCGGCGCACCCGCGCGAGACCAAGCTGGAGGTCCCCTTCTCGCCAGCTCGTAAGATGAGCGCTTCTGTCTTCCAGCTGTCCGCCGACTGTCGGTTCACGACGCTCGACGTCGGCAAGGGCCACACGCACATCGCGGTGCTGAAGGGCGCGCCCGACCGCATCATGCCGAGCCTGTCTCGCGTGCTCATTGCAACTGAGGCCGGGAATGCGCTGGCGGTGTCCGGCGAAATGAGCGAGCAAGAGCGGGGGGGCGTCGAGGAACAGAATGGCAGCCTGGCCGACCAGGCGCTCCGGAGCCTGCTTATGGCGGTGCGGCCGCTGACCCCCGCAGAGGTCGAGCGCATGCGAAGTGCGGAGGCTGAAGAGAGGCTGCGCACGATCTTGGCGCCTGGGCCGCTTGCAGTCCTGGGGCTCTGGGGTATCTTCGACCCGCCAAGGACGTCCGTGCCGCCCAGCATCCAGATGTGCCACGAGGCCGGCGTCAAGGTGGTTATGATCACCGGCGACCAGCGCCCCACAGCGATTGCAATCGGGAAGTTGGTGGGCATCTTGAATGACGGCTCGTCCAGCCAGCTGGACCAGCTCGCGCGAAAGTGCCTGGACTTGCACGAGGACAAGGAGTTCGTGAGGAAGATATCCCGGGAGCAGTCCAGCATGTCCGTCCACGACCTCAAAACCAGGAGTTTGTCCGTCCACGATATCAAGACCAGCAAGGATCAGCACGAGAATGAGTACAAGGCCAACGAAGAGATCAACAGCATGACCTCCCAGTGCGTGGTCTGGTCTCGCGCCCAGCCCTCCGACAAGGTGGCCATCGTGGAGAGCCTGATTCTTCAGGGTCATGTGTCCGCTATGACGGGGGACGGCGTCAACGATGCACCAGCGCTGAAGCGAGCCGACATCGGGGTGGCGATGGGCATCGCGGGCACCGCTGTGACGAAGAACTCGGCCGACCTCATCTTATTGGACGACAACTTCTCCACCATAGTGGCCGCCGTCGCGGAGGGCCGCAAGATCTATGGAAACGTTCAGAAGTACGTGCTGTTCAACCTCAGCATGAAGGGGAGCGAGTGCGCCACGGTTCTTGCCGCCATACTCATCGGCCTGCCGTTGCCGCTCAAGAGCCTGCAGCAGCTCGTGAACATGGTTTTTACACACATAGTGCCGCCGATGTCCCTTGCCCTAGAGGACGCTGAGGAGTACACGATGAAGATCCCACCGCGAGTGACGACGGGAGACCTCATCCTGAACCGCACCCACATGCTCTACAGGTGGTTTCCGTTCGTCGTGTGCTACGCTCTGGTAGCCCCTCTCTTGCTCTTTGCCCTCCTCCTTTGCAGCATTTCCCTCGTTTTTGCCTTCGACCTTATTCCTCGCATCCTCCCACCCTTAGATCATCCTGCCCTTCTTCAGCGCCTGCGTCTGGGTGCACACTGGCTTCGTTACTGCAGGCCAGCTGATCGGGTCCTCCGTTGTGGGCGCAATTGGTTCTGGCGCGTACGCTTGCGAGCTCGCTGGCACCCTTGATGACTCTGGAATCTATTCGGAGGATATAATCCCGTTCCACTGCAAGATAGCCGTTCGCATCGACCATCTGTTCGGCTCCCCGCTTATCATCGAGCAGTGGGGCCGATTGGACGCAGAAGACATAAGCATCAACCTGTGGACTGGCAGCGCGGGAGATGCGTTCGACCGCTCGAATACGCCCTTCGGTGTGGAGGGAGAGTCGCCTGTGGAAAGCTGTGTGGACGAGGACGGCGTGCAGCGCTGGTGCTGGGTCGAGGCTGGCGACGATCACCCGGTGCCCAGGGCAGCCAAACAGCCAAACACGAGAAATGCAGACGAGCATGAGGTCATGATGATGATGATGCGTTCCAAAATGTTCAAGATGTCAGATATCTCTAGGGATGCCACAATTTCCCAACATGTTCCTCGCGCGGTGCAGAAACGAGGGCCGGCGGATGCTTCAGCATGTCTTGAACGTATCCAGAGCCAATCGCATCATGACATCCTTCTCGTCCCAGACCGTCGCAAACATACGCGCTCAGGGGAGCCGAAACCACAGTGATACAGCTGTGCCGATCGGTAAGAGATCTCCCTTCGCTCGCCCGGCCCAGCTCCGCTTCCCTTTGGCACCGCACAGCAGGCCGGACCAGTCTCTAACCCTCCGCGCATGCGCGAGGCTGGAGGAGGACGAGGAGGAGGAAGAAGAGGAGGAGGAGGAGGAGGAGGAGGAGGAGGAGAAGGATGAAGAGGAGGACGGCGTTTGCTCAGGATCGTTTCTTATGAGGCTCGTTTCTCAATCACTTGCCTTCTGGTGAGAAACCTCTCCATCTCCACGGCTTCGCCGGCCGGGCCCCCTAGGCCGCGATTCCGTGGATACTCGGCGTCTTCCGCGGATGCCTCGCGCGGACCTCATCCATGCGACCGCGTATCCACGGGGTCGAGCCCTGGGATCCAGACCGCGAGGGAGTGAGTATGGATGCGTGCGCCGCTCGTGATGCCCTCCCCTGGCCAGACGGCCTCAGGATACGCTGGGGGCGTTCGTTGAGGAATGTGCCCCGAAGGCTTCAGACCCTGGAGGATTCTTTCTCTGATGAGGGATGCATTGCCGATGCGGATCGATGTGGAGCCCGATTTTCTCCGCGCTGGCGTCGCCGATGCACCGCCGACGTCGTCGGTGCATTGCCGATGCATCGCTGATGCATCGGCGATGCATTGGCGATGCGGCGCGATCCTCCGACCCCATCTACCCGGACCCCATCTAGGAGGCCTCTAGATATCCATGGCCGATCCACGATTCAAGTTCCGTCCGCTTCCAGACCCCGGGACTCCGAGCAGTCCGCGCCGGAGCTTTTTGTGCGTCGGCGGCGAGGCAGGGGAAGGCTGCGCTAGCTGAAAGGCCTAAACGGGGATGCCATTATGGCGAATTGTGCCACCATGCAAGAGGATGAGAAGGAGGAGGAGGAGGAGGAGGAGGAGGAGGAGGAGGAGGAGGACGAGGGCGCGGTCCGCGCTGGAGCACACCCTAGCAGAGCGTGCTGGGCCGCGCGGGGGCGGCCGCGGCGACCGACACGGCTCGCCCTCCGTGCCCCGCCGGCGCCTGCGCGCTCGCTGCTGCTTGCCCATTTCTAGGTCGGGCATGTCCCTCTACAGGAGGAGTTCAAACTATACCAGAGATGAGACCCAGCCGGTGGACGGTTTGAAAATTCTCGTGATCTGGGTATTGAGATCGGCTGTGAGATCGGTGGTGAGATCGATGGTGGGACCGATCGTGAAGGCCATAATAAGGTCGATCATGAGACCGATGGTGAAGTCGATTCAGTGAGACCGATGGTGAGATCGATTGTGAGATCGCTCGTGCGATCCATAGTGAGATCGATTGTGAGATCGGTAGTATAGTGATACCGACTGTGAGATCGATAGTGAAATCGATAGAGAGGTGGGCAATGATATCGATGGTGAGACCGATCGACAAAGAGATCGACCAAGATCTTGGGAATCCTGAAACCCGGGAACACCGCCGCCCACCGAAATTGCCCTGCAACCAGCAGCTTGGAATCCGGGAACCAGGAACCAGGAACCGGGAAACCCGGCCGCCTACCGAAATCGGCCCGGAAATTTCGCCAAATCTTTCAATCTCCGCTAGGACCCCTTTAGTGCAAACACTGATTGGGGAAAATAGTAAGACAATGCTCTGGGGACGATTTTTTTGATGATGTTCAGACTTTAGTTTGATTTTTCCTCGAAGATCAGCATGGAGGAGGACATGCCCGACCTAAGCCTACTTCTTCTTTCCTCTCCAACTTCGAAGAACAAAAGCGGCAGAAACATCATTTCATGGAGCTCCGCGCGGATTTCTTGGCTCGGCCCTGGGCCCCGCTGGCGGCGCCTCTGGCGCCGCCCCTGGCGCGCTCCGCACTCCATGGAAGGGGCGTCCAGCGCTGATAAATCTGCGCGGAGCTCCAATGGTTTGTGTGCGTGCCGTTGTGTGTTCTTCTATGACTTCGCACCAGCCCACCTCAACCTGGTCGCCGTTGGGCCTCCCAATCTCCAGCGGGGGGACTTCCAGGAGCATCGAGAAAATAGCGTGAAGCCCTCGCACCCCCCAGCCCAGGCTTGCTTTGACGAATTTCTGGGAAGCTGGCTCATCTTTCTTAACTGACAGTTCTATTGCTCATATCGGAGAGGCCTTGCGGTCGGTGCCGCCGACCCTGAACGACGACGACGACGACGACGGCGGGGGCGGCGGCGGCGGCGGCGACGACGACGACAACGACGACGGCGGCGACGACGACGACAACGGTGGCTTTCCTTTCAAAGGCCTGCCCCGGTGGGCCCTCCCGGACCGAGCCTCTGGAGGCCTGCCGCGCTGCTCTTCGCGCGCCCCCGCCCTTCTGCATGTGCCGCGGCCCACACGCTGGGCCTCGGAGGGGCCCTCCTCCTCCTCCTCCTCCTCCTCCTCCTCCTCCTCCTCCTCCTCCTCCTCCTCCTCCTCTCCTTCTCATCGTCGTCCTCCTCCTCCTCCTCGTCCCTCTGCTCCTCCTCCTGCTCCTCCTCCTCCTCGTCCTCCTCCTCCTCCTCCTCCTTCATCTTCCCGACGGCATCGAAGCACGAAGGCTGCAGCGAGGCAATGAATTAAGAGGAGGAGGAGGAGGAGGAAGAGGAGGATGAGTAGGAGGAAGAAATGGGTACTGCGAGGGTTGGTTATGTGCCGCGCACACCCGGCGCCCTTCCCATTACTGCGAGATTTGATTAGGTGCCGCGCACACCCGGGTGACAAGTACCGCCCTCCACTCTTCCTGCCCCCTTCACCAAACTGTCCCTTATCACCCGCGTTCATGGTGCTGTAAGAGTTGATTAGGTTCTGCGACACCGCGCCGCTTTCCCCATCAAGAGAAAACTAGCAAGGATACTCGTGAAACATGAGCTGGCGCCGCAATGGATACCAGCGCGGCCGCGGCAGTCGAAACACTGGCCGCGGGTAGTTTCTTGCCCCCGCCCTTGCCCCATACCCCCTTGCTCTGCTAACTCCACACCCCTCCAGACCCCCACAGACAGGCGCGACGACTCGAGCGAGCGCGCGCCCAGCCAAGAAGGGAGGGGATGGGGAGGGATAATTGAAGCCAGGAGATCAGATGGAAGTAGAGGGGTGCGAGATCCTCCCTCGTAGCAGCGCCGTCGCATGAAGAAGGCCCCCCCGGCCGCCTCCGGAAGCCGAGGCCTGGCAGCTTGGAACAGCTGCGCCGCTGTAGAAGCGCTCGCTGGCAGCTCCGTGCGGGCTGCTGCTTGTGCTGTCCCTGTGGGAGCAGCGCCCCCCTCGCGGGAGGCTGGACAGAGCCCGGCGAAACGAGGGCTGACCGACCAGTAAGAGCTGGGTGGGTTCGACGGCGGTCGCCGCGAACTCGCACTGATCGACCCAGACAAAATCCAAGCTAACGCTGGGGTCTTGCCTGCCCAGGGCGCACAGATGAACTGTCTCTGGCAGAAACCAGCTGGAGGGGGCCAGAGGGTCCGAAGGAGGCGCGGGGTGTGCAAAAATGCAGGCCGCTCGAAAAATATAGCGGGCATACATGAAAGTCAGACTCGATCTGTAAAGCGCGTTGCCCAGGTCGAGTTGTTTCCGCTCAGCCGCGGAGCTCGTGGGGCCCCCCCAGGCATTACTGATGGATCTAACAGGGCGGGGGCCGCTCTGACTTCTTAGAAAACAGGGCCGAGCTGCCCGAGCCGTCGGCCGATCGGCAGAGCTGGCCACCGACCTGGTCGCGGGGTAGGCGGTCCCTAGTTTAGATAGAGCGCGCTCGTGGGGCCCGATAGACTAAAAGGGGGGCCCCAGCTTGAAGCTACCCCCCTTCCCCCCTTCCTTGCTAAAGGGGGGGGGGGGCTTCGGAAGCCCCCCCCCCCTCCCCCCTTTTTCGTGGTCCGGGAAAGGGGGGGGGGCTTCCAAGCTACCCCCCCCTCCCTCCCTTTAATTGAGCCGGGGTGAGCCACCCCCCCTTTGAAAGGGGGGGGGGCTTCGGAAGCTACCCCCCCCCTCCCTTTTCGTGGCCGGAAAGGGGGGGGCTTCCAAGCTACCCCCCCTCCCTCCTTTTAATGGAGCTGGGGTGAGCCACCCCCCCCTTTGAAAGGGGCTACCCCCCCCCTCCCTTTTCGTGGCCGGAAAGGGGGGGGCTTCCAAGCTACCCCCCCTCCCTCCTTTTAATGGAGCTGGGGTGAGCCACCCCCCCCTTTGAAAGGGGGGGGAGGGCTCTTTGGAAGCTCCCCCCCTTCTCCCTCCCTTGGTGCAAAAGGGGGGGAGGGGGGGCTTGAAGCCCCCGCCCCCTCTCCTCTTTTGGCCGTACCAGCTCCCGGAGCCATCGCCCTCCCTTTCGCTTCCATGTATTCCCGCCCCTGTCCCTCCTCTTCTTCCTTTTGCCTCCTCCTCTTCCTCGTCCTCCTCATCCTCATCATCGTCATCATCGTCATCATCATCATCATCATCATCATCATCATCATCATCATCATCATCATCACCATCACCACCACCATCATCATCATCATCATCATCATCATCGTATTCGTACTCCCCCGCGGGTCCTTCCGTTCCGTTCCTCCTCCTCCTCCTCGGTTTTCTCCTCCTCCTCCATTTTTCCCGCCTCCTCCTCCTCCTCCTCATCATCATCATCATCATCATCATCCTCATCCTCATCCTCATCCTCATCCTCTTCCTTCTCCTCCTCCTCCTCCTCGTGATTCTCCTCCTCCGTTTCCCCATCCTCCTCCTCCTCCTCCTCCTCCTCCTCCTCCTCCTCCTCCTCCTCC